TACTGATAAAATATTTTATCAATGAATTATTTTTCTTTTTTAAATTGTAATTAAACTCCACTGATCTGGCTGTGTGTGTATTTGCAACACAAGAAAACTGAAACATACGTTTACGTTTTTTTGGGTTTTTTTTGCATGTATCATTGTATTGAAATTAAAGAAATTCCCACGAAGTCTGTGGATCATTGAAACACGTCGGAGGACAGTTATTTTTGTCCTTTCACATCAGCCTACTCAGTCAAGTTGAAAAGCAGTCAGATTTTGATCTGGTCATGACCAATGAAAGGCTGCCTCCTGTCACTGAGGTGAAATGTCAGGTATTCCTGAAATAACATCCAGCGTCACAATAAGAGCCTGGTGGAGTTTTTGTTTTTATTTTTTTAAAGTTGGCTCCATTACGGTTCAAATTCTTCACATTATTCACTTGTTTGTACAAGATCTCTTCAAAGGCTTGGGAAAGANNNNAAGTTCTTCTTTCTGACATAATATTTCGGAGCCACGTTGGACTCTGCCCTTATATTGCTGGAGAATGCATTCCATCCACATCTCACGTCCGTGCTATTTTCTCCGCAGCTTTATACGGTTATCTAACATGCTAATGGTTTTCCAGCTTAACAGCATAGCCGTTCAAAGGGCCGGCATTGTGACAGGGAATATCTGATGTAATTTCTGTGTTGATAAATGAGAAGCCCAGTTTCCAGGTTGCCAGGCCGATGGCCGGCGCTCAGTTTAAGCGGGGCCGGGGAGGGCACCTTTCTTTGACTGCCAGGTGGCCCGGGGCCAAGCCTATGGAGGAGCCGTGCAGTCTGCACCCTGTAAGTGGAACGTGGACTGGAGTTCCATAACAGCCCCCTGTCTCATTCTCTCACACAGAATACGCTGTACTGTATGTGCCTGGATACTGCAGTTCCCATTCTCTTCTGTGAGGAACTCTCTCCCGTGGCTTCAGCTACAAACAGAGAAACGAATATTCACAGGACGAGGAACAGCACGCGAGAAGAGAGAGAGAGAGAGCGATATCAGCAGCAGTCTTTCTCCGGTGTCACTCAAAGTACAAGAGCACAAGTAAAACAAACATCAAAAGCAGCTCAACACGCTGATGTAGTAAACAGAGGGGCGGGGGCCAAGAGGGGGCTCGGAGGGGAAAGGTCGTCGGATTTGACGGTGAGTCGATCACATCCAGAGTATCAGATTAATCACATCCAGCTTTGTGAAGGTTCAACAAAGGAGACCTTCAAACTTGCTGCAGATTATAGAACGTTTCCCTGCGCGTGGAGGCTCAAGGGATGATGGGTAATGTGAGAAACAAGAGGAACTCCAAATGTTTTCAGATCATGACAGTCAATGAGAAGAGAGGGAAAAAAGGAAAAGGAAAAAAAAAAAAGCGAAGGATCACTTTCATAAAGAACCGACAGACCAGGCCAAGACAAACATCACCTTAATTGCATTAATTAGTAACAAACCGAGATGATGAATCTGAGTCCGAGCCACTGTGTTACTGTCTCCGTCTTTCTTTGTCCAAATATTCCCTCCACAGAATTCGTCTGGAAAATATGAATTAATACACTCTTCCTGTTGGGATCTTTTTTCAAACCAACTGTTTTTTTTTTCTTCTTTAAAACATTTAAATTACATTCTGCGAAATGACCAGAGCCTTTCTACCATTTCTAATCTCCTTCTAAAAACACTCCAATCACATCTGTCATGGCCAGTCAACCGTGACTAAAAGAGTTTTTTGTTGCCGCTAGATCACGGCAGCCGAGAAAATCATATAATAAACTTTTATTCCCATTTTCCCGTACGGAAACACTAATGGAGCCTGAATCTGATTAAAATATTTAAAGAAAATAGAGTCTGACACTGGCTCTCTGCTGCCCCGATAGGCATCAATCCTGCGTTACTCCGCCTGCAGTGTGAGCTGAAGTGAGTCACTCGGGGCAAACAGTGTAATCCTGGGGTAGGGAGTCATGTTTGGCTCTCCAGGAATGAGCTTCTGCTGAGTAGGAAGCTCCCACTCAACGGGACTTTGTCTTGTGGTTTGGACAGAGATTCTCAAAATAGATTTTCAAAACAATCACATGAGAGCGTTTTGTTGGACAGCTGGGTTAGCTAGGTGAGACAATGTCACGCCTACAGAGTCAAACATCAAGTAACATAATTTTTTTTAATTTCATCTTTTGAAATTATAAAATAATGTAACACATTTAAGGACTCTTTTAATGTCAGTTAGCTTGTCAGTTGCGGACTTACTTATAACCCTGTGCTTGAGTCTGGTCAGCTGACCTGAAGGTGACACCTCCGCAAATGCATGCTGGGTATTGAGATGGTGTTTTTAGCTCAAAGTTTTTCAGCATTATGTATAAATTACATGTTAATTATTGTGTAAATGAGTAATGTTCAGTGGACGGAGTGTAAAATTATTTTACTGTATTTAAACAGTGCCTGTCATTCTGTCGTTCTAAATTGCGTGGAATATTGAATCTGATTAACTTAAAAAAAAATTAACTTTTATTTTGAAAAGGCTTCAGAAACAATACGTCTTCCTACCACCTTGTAATACCTTTCTAAAACCCCTAGTTGTCGCTGTTAGAGACCATACGCACATAATACCATATCTAGAAATACAATTAAAACAAAAAATAAAACCAAAATACCTGGGTTCTGTAGTGACTCTGGTCCAGAAACAGTCGACCCTGGAGTTTCTGTTGCTGCAGTTGCTGAATAGCAAACTGAAGCTGGTAACTCTCCGGTGGTGGTTGATGGCGGTGCAGGGGTTTGACCTCTGACACTGAGCTGTAGGCATTCTGTCCATGTCCGTCCCAGAGGCCTTCATCCTCCTTCACTGACCTGCCGCTTAAAAAAACACAGAATATAATTACATTAATGGCATAAATATACATACATATATGTGTACATATATGTATAATTATATATTTATATGTATACATATATAACATAATTACATATATGTACATATATACAAATAATTATACATAAATGTGTATGTATACATATATACAATACAGTATATTTATATAAATATATATAAAATATATATACATATATCTATATACATCACTGTCATCACATCATGACATGACATGAGTTGTCTTTTGCAGCCTCATACTTCACCTTCAAAGTGGGCAGTGATGTCCTTTGTTACGTCTGCTGACTCAACTGTTTATCAAAAGCCTCGCTGCAGCTCATTTTGGATTTTAGTCCCAAACGGATGCCAACCCCATGGGTCGCCTCTGGAGACCATTAACTATGAACTACATATCTTGTGGTCCACTTTTGGACGTCAGTTTAAAAGAACACTATTTCTATGTCCAGCTCCTCACTAACTACCCTGGCAAACAATTACGGGGCAGTTAGTCTGGGCTTTGTGAATGTTACATTGGTTTTACTGGGAGCAGTAAAAACCCATGTCGTGGTTTCTTATGCCAGTTTTTGAATCCCCCCCCCCCCAAACACACCCCCTCCAGCCAACAAAAATGTTTGATCAGCTTGGACCGGCTTGTTTTTACCAGACTGTGTTGGACATGGATGGACAGAACCATGTCAAGACTCTGTGGTCTGAATAACAGGTTTTGGTTTTAATAATATTGAGTTTGATTGATTGACTGGTCATCCCAACTGGAGCCAGGCGTCATTTTGATTTTGGTGACAATTATGGTATTTGTTGAAAACATAACTTATCACGAAAATGTTAAGTGACAATATAAATAGAGAAGGAATATTTTGGTGATATTTTAGTCGTTCTCTTTTTAAATCGTGACCTTTTATTCAAACGGCACAGATGATAATTTATGATAAAAAAAAAAACTGATAATCTTGCACAGATGATAATTTATGATAAAAAAACCTGATAATCTCAAAGACCTTTGATCCCAAAGTCCAATCCAATAGCGCAGGGGTGTCAAACTCATTTTGGATCACGAGCCACATATAATATATGTAAATGTCAAGTGGGCCAAACCAGCACAATTGTACCATAATTAACTATAAATAATAATTTTACAAAAAAATCCTGATAAATATCCATATAGTGTTTATTTGTGTGTATTTTTCATAATGCGGCCCAGATTGAACATCCTAGCGGGCCAGTTTTGGTCCACGGGCCGTATGTTTGACAACCCCTGTAATAGAGGCCCCAACATGTCATGCTGTCCATCATTCATTCAGTGACAACACTGAATATACCTTTACAGTGTTACCTACATGAATATACATCAGTTTTACTGCATGTCATATCATCGTCAAAATGTCAAACGCTGCTTAACCTTTGACCGAGTGTAAATCAACGACAGTAAAGTTGAGCCATATATTTCCTAATAAAGGTGCAAATGTTTTTTTGTTTTTTTTTAAACTGTTTTTTAATGCCTCAATTTATGACTTTTAACCACTCTGACAGTTCATGTTGTCTTAAATAAAACTCTGTTGAGTCCATACTAATGTTTACTGGACAGGTTAAATGGAATGGTGGCCATTTTTATTTGTTTTATGGAGGAAAACGTTGACACAGTCTGTCGCTGTAGCAGCAGTGAAAGTCGAGGTCATAAATGAACGAGGAGCCGTTGCTACGACACAGTCTACGAACTTTAAACTCAACATTTTCTGCCACACTCTCCTCTCTCCGTCTTACATCATCCAACCATGTGCTGAGTGGCAAACACCACCAGCAGCAGAAATTTAAAAAGACAAGACAGCTCACATCATGCCAGTCACCGGCTGCTGGAGCCACAGAAGCCTCAAGTCAAAGTGTGCAAATCGGAGTCAAAGCAGAGGGCAAGCCTGCGGCAAACAGAGGCTGAACTCAGAACCTTTCCTCTTTGCCTCAGTGCACCCTGAGCTTCACGTTCCATTCGCATCACAAAGCCACAAACTGGAAAGCAAAACTTTTGACGAGCTCCACCAGTTTGTAACTGGATTATCTGTCATTAGGACTAAGCCAGTTTCAGCCTGGTGTGTGTGTGTGTGTGTGTGTGTGTGTGTTTTCTTCTTCTTCTCTACTGGCCCCTGTTGAAGTAATGAGGCGACCACGCTCCCGTCAGACATGCTCAGACTGACTTAATGTGGAGTCTGGTGAGCTGCTGTTCATGAACTTGCTTTGCCAAAAATAATGTCATAAAGTGCACTTTTGGGGGTTGCAAGTCTGAATATTACTTTATAAAAAATTACAACAATAAATAAAAATAAAAGAAAGTTGAAGAAAAGCGATCCCTGAAGTGTCTTTAAAACAAAAGGTTTCTGGAAATGCTTTCTGTGTGTTGGACTAAAAAAAAAAAAAACCACTGGAGGACTCAGAGTCACAATAGCTTTAATAATATGGTACTGAACCATGATAAGATCTAAAATTAGGATTCAATTAGTCTTGAACAACAATGTAGAGTGTGGGATAATAATGGTGTGCCGCCGAAATGAAAAAGTACTCCTGTTCCATGAAACCAAACAAAGACACCAGGGATCTTGAGAGTCCTGTGAACATGTTGTACGCCCATGCAATTCTCAGTTCACATAATAGCATATATATTACAAAAACAACTGCTGCGACCACAGGCCAATTCACTTTTTTCTGCCTGTGGAAACAAAGGCTCGTCTGTGAACCCTGCAAGGTCAGAGATACTACAACGCCAGGAGACAAAACAAGAACTTGTTCTTTGTTTACAACAGTCATTTCCTTCGACTTGGCTGCAGTTTTCACGCTGCTCCACAGGGACTTTTAGCAGTTCCATTTTACGACCACAGAGTCCACAACAGAGACCAGTTTCTCAGGTGAAGGCTGCGACTTTCCCGCGAGTGCAGGATCTTCCGTCGCGCCCCAGGACAGAGGAGAGGTCTTTTCAGACAAGGACAGTTCACGCAACATCACGCAAATAAAAAAAAAAAAACGAGGTCTCACTTTGATTCAAAACCAAGACATCACGGAGGCCGCTCCAAAACAGTTACCAATGAAATAGGGAAAAATCTAAACCAGAGAGAGGTTTTCCGTCTGAGATTCTCATCACATGTATAGAGATCCAACTATGTGGGACGCCCCCTGCTGCTCGGGGGGAGGAGGAGAGGTGAGAGCGCGGGGGGGGGGCGGGGATCATCTCACTCCCCGCTGCGCTCGCCGTCCTTTTAATACGCTCATATAACTTACTGTAGAACAACACGGCGGTGCGAGCTGCGCAACATGTGCTGCATCAATCTGACTCGGTGTGGGAAAAAACGAGAGAGAGAAGCACGAGCGGAGATGACATCACGCCACAGTATCTGACGGAGCTGCCAGGTCAGTGTAAACATCAGCCTCTGGAGTGTGAGGGTATTTCCAGCCAGTGTTTGTTTACTATGTTTTATTGCAACGCTGACACTGACACAAGTGAAGGGAGGGAGTGAATTTAACCGTGTGGGGATTTGCTCAAGGGAGCGTGGGACGCCGATAGTGGAGTCGTTTCATTGGTTCACGTGATCCATAAACAACCTGATACGAGGAGAGTAGGTCGACTGCATCACTGGAAAGGATTTGTTTATTACAACATGAACTGATGTCAAAGGGTGTGGGGGTTTTTCCCTCTCAGTGAAGCCGGTTACACCAAAGCCTCTGCAGCACCAGGCCTGTTTGGTTCATTAAGATTTTGAATTTTATTTCATAGAGAAATTGACTCTTTCCATACTAACAATTCCATCATTTGGAGTTGGTGTGACTGTTCCAGCAATGTACAGGAAAAATTTATTCTTTTTTTTTTTTCAATTAATCATGTTTAATTGAGATTAATTCTCAGCTACTACATGTTTAAATAATTTTTTTTTTTGACAGCTGTAAATGTTTATTACACTCAGAGTACTGATTACATTACATTCTAACCACTACACTATGAAAAGGTCAGTATTGGTCCGATATTGGTCAAAATTGCAGGATCGGATATTGAAAAAAAACAACTAAAGCCTGTCCGATACCTGAGCCCAAACACTGAACAACACACAACGGCAGCCCGTGGTATTCTGTTGGAGAAGAGAAGGTATCAGATGGATGTCGGTATCGGCAGATACTTCAAGTTGTAGTATCAGTATCGCAATATAAACACAGTCTAACACAAAGTTAGACTGAACTTAGCAACTTGTTGAAGGGAGGTTTTATACGTAATGTATATAAATGTGGATACAACCAGTAGAAAATAATCTAGACATGACTTTATCATTAAAAACAACCTCATATTTTTCATCATATTTTAAGCGTTTCTGTGTTCAATGTTCAGAACAGTGGTTTTCTTTCATCAAATACATTTCAAAAATGAGAGATTATCGCAGCCTCGGACAGAATTCACAGCAGATGTAACACTGCCACCTCCAGCTCTGCCTCCAGTCTTAAAACTGAGTTATTTCCCCAAACATCAGGGCAGGTTTTTATTGTGATCTGGTCAACTTTCCCTTTCACTGCTGCTTAGAGCCTAAAACTCCAACATCCTTAACATTTTTTGGTAACCACTCCTTTTTGGTTCTAAAATAGGAAAAAAAAAACCAATTTGTTGGCAAAAAAAAAATACAGTTCTTCAGTCTTTGAACCTTGAAAAGGAAACATTTAGGTTGGTCCAACTTTAAGGACACAAACACACCTTGGACCAAAACAAGCAAAGGTATGTGATGAATTTGACTTCGAACGAACGGCATGACTGAGCAACAAACTGTAGCAGTGTCAAACAAAAATGACAAAGCTGAAAGCTTCATTTTTTTGGTTCAGCAAATAGCCTGTCATAAAACCCTTTGGAAAATTACGGAATTCCACCAAGTCAAACAGCAATCTGACAAAATATTGAACAGAACTAAAAATACCCAGCATAAGCAGAGCTGTGGTATTTCTCAGCTCGACGTGTCGGTGTAAGTGTAACACTGTCGGGATAATAGTTTGGCGGTTATCGGTACCAACAGCCAGAGGGAAACTGGGAGAGCGTTTCTGTGGCCAGGGAACACAGTCAGGGCTGAATGATGACATTACACGTTTGTTCTTATCTGTACAATAAC